TTCCTTCTCTGTTCACACACAAGTTCTCCCACCGGCACTAACACCAACAAAACAACAGTAATAATTCTAACCTCTACCTACATCACCCACAACACCTCCACCAATAACACCCCATCATGACCAACAACACCTCCATCACCACCAACAGCACCCCTACCAACACCAACAACACCCCTACCAACACCAACAACACCCCATCACACCAGCAACACCCCCATCACCACCAGCAACACCCCCATCACCACCAGCAACACCCCCATCACCACCAGCAACACCCCATCACCACCAACAACACCTCCATCACCACCAACACCACCCCCATCACCACCAACACCACCCCCATCACCACCAACACCACCCCCATCACACCAACACCATCCCATCACCACCAACACCACCCCCATCACCACAAACACCACCCCCATCACCACCAACAACACCCCTATCACCAGAACACCCCTATCACCACCAGCAACACCCCTATCACCACCAGTACCCCCATCACCACCATGTAAGAAGATATTTATAAAGTATGAGGGTAGCAAGGAATTGAATGTAGAAGGTGGCTACCTCTTTGGGTTTACAGTAAATGTAGCAGTAATCATGGGGTTATTGAGGCACTGTACTTGTTCACTGAAACTGTCATTATGTGAGTACATTCATTTATTAAATAATGCAGTTGTACTATATATGCAGTGAACTTCCTTGAAGCTTGTCTAAATGCAACCTATTCTCTTAACCCTTTGAGGGTCGACAGGCCCTCTCAGAAACTCGTTCTCAGGGTCGGCCAAATTTAAAAAAAAAAAAAATTATTTTTTCTTATGAAAAGATAGAGAATCTTTTCCCGATCATAATGACGCCAAAATTATGAGATTTGATGGAAAACTTACCTAATTATGCTCTCGCGAAGTTAGCGGTCTCGGCGATGTTTACGCATCGGCGATTTTGCCCAATTTGAGCCCCATTTTCGGCCAATTCCTCTGTACTAGTCGACAAACAACATGAATATTTCGTTAGAACTACATTTTTTCTATTGAATAAGTGCAAGAAACCACCCATTTACCATTTTCAACTATCCAATACATTGGTCAGAATTTAGCAATTTTGCCAATTTCACACAAATTTCAAAAAAATGCCAATTTCCGAATAGTGTCCAGAACAAACAAGAAATACATTCCTGGCACTAAAATGACATTTCTTCTGCTCATCAGTCACGTCTCAAGGCCCCTCTTACATTCTTTTGCTTTCCACTTTGAATTTTTATTCTCACGAAAAATAGAAGATTTACTGTTATGCAGACTACTGCATTAGTGTAAAAAATGATATAAATCATATTGGCGCAATTGCAAAAGAATGGTAGACTCACCAGTTGACGTGTATTGGACGCTTGGCATGATTTGTTTACTTTTGAACTTTGGTAAAAATCGAACATTTCTGCTACTTTGAGCTCAATTTCAAGGTACTTTTCATTGTAAAACCAGTAAAAATCATCTCAATTTCTGTGATATGCATTCCATTCTATAAAATGAGACCAAGAAAACTAGAATACAACAATAAATACCATACGAAAATACAGTGCAAAGACGCTGTTTTATGCCAAAAAAAACGTGAAAGTTTTTTTTTTCTCATTATGCACTGTGTGCTGCAGGATTTTTTTTATACTGTGCACACTGACCACATAGACCCATTCTTTCATATGGAGGCCTACTAGCCTCTTCCCGCGAGATTTGACGGCGCTAGAATTTATGCGTACTAGTACGTCAAAAACCCCTACACGTAAGACGTACTAGTACGACGAAAACCCTCAAAGGGTTAAGTAAACTTTTTTTTTTTTTTTTTTTTTTGCTGCTGAAGACTGTTGGTAAAGCGACTGACACTAATATGTGAAAATGGGTTTTTATGTAATGCTTGATAAGCTAACATAGTGGGTCCTTGTTTCTTGTTCATGCTTCTAAACATTGTTTGCTTTTGTGTGTTATTGCATATATTGGTGTTATTGTATCTTGGTTAAATTTGGTTGATTTTTTTGGTTAGTTTTATTTTATCTGGGAATCCCCTTTAAGCCATGCATGTCAGGAGAACTGATCCCAATCAGTGTAGTAAGAAAAGCAAATGCCAGACTGAAGTTCTACAGAGAAGCACAATGTCTACCTACTGAGGCTCGCAGGACCCTACGTCTAGCCCTTATATAATGTCATACGGACTACGTTTGCTCTTCATGGTACTCTGCCTTGACAAAAAAACTGAAAGATAAACTGCAAATCACTCCGAACAAAATGGTAAGATTCATCATGGACCTAGGTTCAAGAGAACATGTAGGCCAGGATGAATTACAATTGGATATGCTAAATATTGAAGACAGAGTAAAACAAATGATGTTAAATCAAGTTTATATAATTGATCACAAACAGTGTCCAGAATATATTGCTGCTAATTTTGTCAAGACTAGGAACCGAAGCAATCATAGTACTAGAGGGAGAGAGCACAACTTTGTAGTACCCGCAATCAGTTGCCAGGCTTCATACACCTTCTATTGTACAGCAATAAAGGAATGGAACAGATTGCCTGCACATGACGAAGCCAGTCATAGCATGAGCCAGTTCAAGAAGAGAGCCAAAAGGTACCTAATGAATGTAGTGACAGAAAGGAAGGAGAATGATTTTTTATTTTTTTAGCTAACACATACGTAAATGTAAATTACTCTTTCTACCTTATTCCTAGTATATATCCTTTCTAGTATAATAAGATATCTCCTACATTCTATAATAATAAGGTATTAAAAGGACCCCAATGGAAATAAGTCACTGACTTTTTTGGGTTATCCTAGGTTCTCTCCACATATGCTGCTATGTTTGATAATCTATGTAACTGTATTAGTGTATATGTACCTGAATAAACTTACTTACTTACTAGTTGATAGTAACTTAACAATCTGATTCAACCTAGCCAAACCTAATTAATGTACATAAAGAAATTGGCTTAAACAGATTCTCAGAAATTTTGTTGGCATTAAGACAGGTTCCTCAATGCAGTACAGATTTTCCTCTTTTTATACAGGGTAAATATATGCTCTGTATCATTTCCATTAGTATTTTCAAGTGTGCAACACACTATACATTTACTGAATGCAGGCGGTGAGGTTCATAAAACTTATTGAGCATTCTTATTAGGCAGAATTAAATGTTTATGGCATGATTGAGCTTAGTACTGCTTCCATAAGTTCAGAGTGCTTCTACTGCACACAGCAGGGGACACCTGTAGTCGAGTATATAGTACCTGTATTAGTCATCCCAACTATGAGTCACCTTAACATGGTGGTGATGCTTGAGTGGTTTGTGCATAGAGGTAAGGCCCTCTTCTTTGGGAGAGGTGCCACTCTTCCAACAGGGTGCTTGCCTCAAAACCCAGCATCTCTTGGCATAAATGGAGGGGATATTTCCCCTTTCATCTAACTTTGGTGGCATTTATTGCTAATGACATCAAATTGTGAATATAGATTGCAGAATCTAGGTAGTAGGTTGGTAGACAGCAACCACCCAGGGATGTACTACTGTCATGCCAGATGAGTGTGAAATGGAAACCTGTAATTGTTTTACATGATGTTAGGAATTGCTGGTATCTTATTTTTATGCCTCATATACATGTGGGATACCAGATATATCTTGCTACTTCTACTTGCACTTAGGTCACACTACACATGCATGTACATGCATGTTCTTCTTTATTTCCTCTTACCTCCATGGGGAAGTGGAACAGAATTCTTCCTCCGTAAGCCATGTGTGTTGTAAGAGGCGACTAAAATGCCGGGAGCAAGGGGCTAGTAACCCTTTCTGTATAAATTACTAAATTTAAAAAGGAAAACTTTCATTTTTCTGTTTAGGTCACCTTGCCTTGATGGATATGGCTCATGTGTTAAAAAAAAAAATTGCAGAATGAAAAATACTTTAAAATAATTTTACCTGTTTTGTGATTGTGTTTCATGTACTGCAATTTTAAAGCTGGTTGGACATGACAGTAACAGTTAATACTGATTAGTATAAATTTGATAATATTAGAAGCAGAATATGTTTAAAGTGCTGAATATCCAAATGGTTCTAGTGTTTTGTAAATACAGTATACAAAATTGCATTAGAGTATTTAGAGCAGGAAGTAAATGTGTCTGTTTTCTGATTTTTCAAGTGTTTTTGTTTAAGAATTTCATCAGCAAAATCTTGAAAATGTTGATAGATAGCATGAACTCTCATGAATTCTTCAGATATCTTGATAATTCAATTAGAAAACATTAGTTCGGTTCTATAAACAATCTTTTAAAGGACAAAGTGGTCAGATGTATGAGAGAATAACATTTTTTTGTTGCTGATGAACCTGTAGGACTGGGATTAAGATAGTGTTGGATGGTAGTACAGTTTAGTAGGAATATTACAGTTGTATTGTCTCAGGTATTATAAAACTAATTCCTGTCTAATAATATCTTAATTAACACAAATAAGCATTGGAGTTGTAAATCTCAACATCAGTTTCAAGAAAAGCTAAAATGTTTATTTTCTTGAATAAAACTAGGCTTTATTGGAAATAACTGTGTATCTAGTAGCATAATTTACTCTACACACACATTTACTCATTTTGGTTATGAAGGCTTGAGAGTTTGGACTGTCCCATAGCATACACCCAATGCCATTTATTGTAAGCGTTGTAATTATGTTGTACATAAATATAGAGATTCCCCTAGCATGTTCACTATTCTGTTTTAGGCTGTTATAAAGATTGTAGATATTCAGGGTACCATCTTAACGTATGTATATTCATGTTATTACCTTTATTAATGCAGTTTTATGAAAATTTGCTCATAATGTTGTCAAATTTAAATTTTGTTAAGAAATTAACATGATTGTATTTCTTGAAGTTTAGGTAATATATTTTATGTAATACTGTTAATATTATTAGCCCATGACATGAGTATTTAGTATAATAATACAGTGCATAACTTGGTGTATTCCCAGACCTTTACGCTGAAGGAGAAAGTGGTTACCTTGAAGTTCAAAGAGAAGTCATCAGAGGAAGCACCATCATACAAGAACCTTTTATTATGGATGGTTCGTCTCATCCATGCTGACCCAATGCTCATGCTTAATGTAAGTTAGTATCTTGGTATTTCTCTTACGCTTCATCTCAGTGTAGCAAGGTGAAGTATAGAAACTAATTCATGGGCCTATACCTTGTACCTGCTCAGCTTCATTCAATACTCCATAATGATATACAGTGGACCCTTGGTTATCAGCTGTAATCCGTTCCAGAAGGTCGGCCTAAAACCGAAATGGCCGAAAACCAAAATAATATTTCCCATAAGAATTAATGTAAATACAATTAATCCATTCCAGATGCCCAAAAATATTAACAAAAAATACATTTTTTGAAGATTAATTATGGTTTTACATACACAAAACAATGAGAACTAAATAAAATACATAAATACTTGAACAATTAAATCTTTATTACATACCTTTTTTGAAGACTCTTGTTGGAAGATAGGGAGGAGGAGAGAGGGAGTTGAGGTTATTGTTTGGAAGGGAAATCCCCCTCCATAAGGACTTAAGGTAACAAGTCCCTCTCAGGGGTTACTTCCCTTCTTTGTCTTTTAATGCCACTAGGACCAGCTTGAGAGTCACTGGACCCCTGACACAAAATAACTGTCCAGAGTGCTTTGTTTCTGTGGGCTCTTTAAGATTTCACTGAAGTGGGACAAGGTTTTGTCACTGAACATGTTGCAGACATGGCTTGTTTCAGCTTGGTCAGGGTGATACTTTTCAACAAAACTTCGCAACTCATTCCACTTTGCACACATGTCCTTAATCACTGAAGAAGGCACCTTCTCCCATCTCTCTTCCTTCTCTGAAGCAATTTCCTCAGCTGCAGTCTGTTGCTGTTCCAGTTGAAGGTCTTGCATCTCTTCAGTGGTTAGCTCTTCCCTGTGGTCCTCCACCAACTCTGCCACATCCTAGCCACTTACATCCAACTCCATGGACTTCCCCAGTGCCACAATAGATTGCACAACAGGCATAGGGTCCACAGGGTCAGCCCCAAACCTTTCAAAATCCCTCTCTTGGTCACAATCTGGCCACAATTTTCTCCGAGCAGAATTCAAAGTCCTGGAAGTCACTCCCTGCCAAGCCATACCTATAAGGCTTATGCAGTGGAGGATACTGAAGTTATTCCTCCAGAACTCTCTTTGGGTCAAATGAATGTCCGAGGTCACTTCAAAGCACCTTTGAAACACTGCTTTTGTGTATTTTTTTTTTTTTTGAAGTTAGAAATGACCTGCTGGTCCATGGGCTGGATGAGAGGAGTGGTGTTAGGAGGCAAGAACTTCACTGTTATAAAACTGAAGTCCCTAAGCAATTGGTCTTCCAGGTTTGGAGGATGAGCAGAATCATTGTCCAGTACCAGGAGGCACTTAAATGGCAATTTCTTTTCCAGGAGGTATTTTTTCACACTAGGGCCAACCACATCATTGACCCACTCTTTGATCCATGCCTTATTAATAGCTTTCCACATCACACACAATCTATTCTTGACGACATTGTTTTTCTGGAGCACACTGGGGTTTTCAGGGTGATGCACCAGTAAACGCTTCACTTTAAAATCCCCACTAGCATTAGCACGAAACAAAAGAGTAGGCCTGTCTTTCATAGGCTTGTGTGTTGTCAGTGCTTCTTCCTCCTGCATAATGTAGGTCCTCTGGCATTTTCTTCTAAAAGAGGCCTGTTTCGTCACAATTGAAGACTTGTTAGGGGAGGAATCCTTCAGCCTCTACGTACCCCTTGAATTCCTGCATAAATTTTTCAACCGCACATTTGTCTGAACTTACTCCCCATGCCTTACCACACTGTGTATGCCACTACAGTGGCATACACAGTGTGTATTAAATTCACTGCTGTCAGTGAATTTACAGTGCTGCTGTTAGTGAATTTAGGGCTAGCAAAGGCTGGCCCTAAATTCACTAACATCAGCACTTGTTCCAGGCATTTTCTTTACAAGATCCGCATGCAGCTGCCTTGCCTTCTCACAAATCATCGACTCCACAACACTATCTCTAGCTAATTGTTTTTTGGTGATCCACAAAACTAACAACTTCTCCATATCTTCCATTATCGGTGACCTTTGTTTGGTTAGCACATTTACTCCTTTCACCACATCAGCTTCCTTGATTTGTTCTTTCTTTGCCAGGATAGAAATGATTGTCGATTTGTTATTCTCATACATCCTGGCAAGTCCTGGCACTTGAACACCACTCTCATACTTTTCAACAACTTCTTTCTTAACCCTTTCATGGTCGACAGGCCCTCTCAGAGACTTGTTCTCAGGGTCGCCCAAATTTCAAAAAAAAAAAATATTTTTTTTTCTTATGAAAAGATAGAGAATCTTTTCCCGATCATAATGACACCAAAAGTATGAAATTTGGTGGAAAACTTAGGGAATTATGCTCTCGTGAAGTTAGCGGTCTCGACGATGTTTACGCATCGGCGATTTTGCCCACTTTGAGCCCTATTTTTGGCCAATTCCAGTGTACTTGTTGACAAAAATCATCATTACTTCACTAGAACTCCATTTTTTCTATCGAATGAGTACAAGAAACCACCCATTTACCGATTTCAACTATCCAATACAGTGGTCAGAATTTAGCAATTTTGCAAATTTCACACAAATTTCAAAAGATGCCAATTTCTGAATAGGGTCCAGAATAAACAAGAAAGACATTCCTGACACTAAAATAACATTTCCTCTGTTCATTAGTCATGTCCTCATGCCCCTCTTACATTCTTTTGCTTTCCACTTTGAATTTTTATTCTCACAAAAAAATAGAAGATTTACTGTTATGCAGACTACTGCATTGGTGTAGAAATGGTATAAATATTATCAGCGCACTTGTGAAAGAATATTAGACTCACCAGTTGAAGTGCATTGGACGCATAGCATGATTTGTTTACTTTTGAACTTTGGTAAAAATCGAACATTTCTGCTACTTTGAGTGCAATTTCAAGGTAGTTTTCTTTATAAAACCAGTCAAAATCATCTCAATTTCTGTAATATGTCTTCCATTCAATAAAATGAGACCAGGAAAACTAGAATACAACAATAAATACCATACGAAAATACAGTGCAAAGTCGCTGTTTTAATCCAAAAACATGGTAAAAATTTTTTTTTCTCATTACGCACTGTGTGCTGCAGGATTTTTTTTTATACTGTGCACACTGACCACATAGACCCATTCTTTCATATGTCAGCCTACCAGCTTTCTCTCACTAGATTTGAGGGCGCTAGAATTTAGGCATACTAGTACGTCAAAAACCCTGGTGCGTAAGCCGTACTAGTATGGCTGAAACCCTGAAAGGGTTAAATTCCATCTTGTTTCTTACTTTCTTTACCAAAGGAACTTTGGGGCTATGGTTACTTATTTCCCAGTTGCACTTAATCGATAACCTCAAAAATCAATGAATTATAGTGAAATGTTTGGATGAGCGAGCAGAAGCTTCCTCATTTGCCCAGAGACAAAGCCAGACTGACACGCACGCAGCTGGCAGCGCGTACCATACTGCCGATTAGCGAAACAAGAGCCGATAACCGGAAGCTGAAAAAACAGCCAATAAGCAAGTTGGTTGATAACCGAGGGTCCACTGTATACAGTGAAACCTCTCATTAACAGACTTTTCATTAACAGATCTTTCATTAACAGATGTTATTAAAATGTTTGCAGTCACTGAAGAGAATTTGGAAATAGTCATTAGAAGCAATACTGGAATTTTAAATTCAGCTTGTATGTGCATTAGTATATAGTATTGTACAAAATACAGTTTGTTATTATACCTCAGGCAAACATTACTGAGAACAAGAGGGCATGCTGAAGTTCAAACAAGAGAATCAGGTGTTAAACTTCTTAAAATGAAAGAAATACTAACCATTGCATGAAGAGCATATAGAGAGAGCATACTTACCAGTCAGCTATTAGCCCTGCCCAGTTATAATACTAAAGGATTACCTTTCTTTGTCCAAACTATGACAAGGAAGATACCACACATGAAATGGTTTATATATTTTATTTATCTCGCTGCCACTGCAAGATTTTTTTTTAAATGGTCAAGGAAGTTAATTATGATAGCAAAGGGATGTAGAGGTCTGAGACCACCCCAAGAACCCAATTCACCAAAGTAGTGGCTGATTCCTTGGCCATAGCAGCGTAAACACACACAATTCTTTTAGTCCATGAAGTTGCTTTTGTGGGATATTAGCATAATACACTATTGTATAAGGTAAATTAATTTCAGATATTCAGACCGAAGTTCACTGAGGATTGTAAGTGGGCTCTAGGAGTGCACCATTTGCCAAGATATAGAAAGGTTCTTTGTGACTTTTAGGCATCCAGTCTGACAAGATGTGTGTCTGAAACAAAAGATGGAAAGTGATTCAGATCACGTATAAAGTTTTAGTAATTGTGTGATATGACCCATACTAGTCGATGATCACTAATTTACTCATGTGGTTCTCATAAGTCTTGACAGTGGGGAGTTCTTCAGGTATATATAAGAACTAGGGATTTATCTGTGACCATGCAAGGATTTTTAGTGTACTAAACCTTGAAATGAGAGTGATGGGCAGGCATGGTAGACTTTCTGTTAAGTGGAAAAGTAATTTTATTCCATCCCTCTTCTCAGGATATAGAGCTTCACTCATGGGCTATATTGAGAGATCCTTTGCACTCATCCTGGCCATGGAGATTCACTTAGTGGTTCCTAAAATTCCCAAATTGACACATAAAGAGGTTCTTGTGCTAGTACAGGAGGGCCCCACTTTACAGCATTTTGCTAATACACTCACTATACCTGGAGTTTACCTGGAGAGGGTTTCAGGGGTCAGTGCCCCAGCGGCCCGGTCTGAGACCAGGCCTCATGGTGGATCAGGGTCTGATCAACCAGGCTGTTACTGCTGGCCGCATGCAAGCTGATGTATGAACCACAGCCTGGTTCGTCAGGTACTGACTTTAGGTGCCTAAGGACGAAAATATTTTTAAGTAATGCACATACAGTATGTGGATTTTTTAGGCCTATCTTTATTTCTCACTTAATATATGATAGTGTAAACATGTTATCAGGCTTTTATGTGCATTTGAAAGTGAAAAGAGGCTGTGATTCACTTTATAGTGATTTTCACTTTACAGCAGTAGCCTGGAACCTAACCTGCTGTATAAGTGGGGCCCTCCTGCACCAAGCTAATTTGATTTTCCACACCTTACAGTTACAGCTGCCTATACTATGATTAAAGTTTTGATAAATGAATAAGTACCCATTCTTTTTTGTGTGTGGGGTTAAATGAACCAGTGAAGATTTCTGTGTTTCTATGTTAAATGTTTTGACTTCATTTGTTACATCTTGGTTCCAGACTCAGATTGTTATGAATGACTTTCCCAGGACTACATACAAAATGAACATTCATTAAACAGATAGGAAAATAGAAGGTAAAACATGTATGCTGTATTCCCAGTGGTTCATTAAATATAGATAAAACAAAGTATCCTCGAAAAGGTTGGAAGGAAGGGGCAAGGGAGGTTTTGTGGGCGAGGGGCTTGGACTTCCAGCAGGTGTGCGTGAGCGTGTTCAATAGGAGTGAATGGAAACGAATGGTATTTGGGACCTGACGATCTGTTGGAGTGTTAGCAGGGTAATATTTAGTGAAGGGATTCAGGGAAACCGGTTATTTTTATATAGCTGGACTTGAGTCCTGGAAATGGGAAGTACAATACCTGCACTCTAAAGGAGGGGTTTGGGATATTGACAGTTTGGAGGGATATGTTGTGTATTTTTATATGTATATAGTGCTTCTAAACTGTTGTGTTCTGGTAAACCCCAATCAACCATCTCTACTATAGTGAGCAGGAAAATGGCAATCAAGGAAGCTGTTCTTGCAAAAGGTGCAACTGTGATTACGAAACAGCGACCACAAGTGTTAGAAAATGTTGAGAGACTGTTATTGGTGTGGATAAATGAAAAACAGCAGGAGATAGCATCTCTCAAGCGATCATTTGTGAAAAGGCGAGGCAGTTGCATGACGATTTGGTAAAGAAATTGCCTGCAACTAGTGCTGATGTGAGTGAATTTAAGGCCAGCAAAGGTTGGTTTGAAAGATTTAAGAATCGTAGTGACATACATAGTGTGATTAGGCATGGTGAGGCTGCCAGTTCAGACCAAAAAGCAGCTGAAAAAATGTGAAGGAATTCAAGGATTATATAGACAGTTAAGACTTGAAACCTGAACAAGTGTTTAATTGCGACAAAACAGGCCTGTTTTGGAAGAAAATGCCAAGCAGGAACTACATTACTCAGGAGGAAAAGGCACTCCCAGGACATAAGCCTATGAAAGACAGGCTTACTCTGTTGATGTGTGCCAATGCTAGTGGTGATTGCAAAGTGAAGCCTTTATTGGTGTATCACTCTGAAACTCCCAGAGTGTTCAGGAAAAACAATGTGCCTACCAGTGACTATGCCCTCGTCTGCTACACGTCCCATTTCCACCTGACGTTAGTATATAAGCACCAGGCTCCTTGCTTCTGCTTCAGAATCTCCATGACTACGGTGCTCTTCGCACCTACTCCAAGGTTGAGGAACTGATTACCTCATCTTCTGTATATAGTCCTACTGTCTTCAAGTTATGTCCTGGAATTTGTATTGATAAAGCCACTGGATGGTGAAACGTCTACAATAAAGATACCCAGATGTTGCACGTGTAGCCTCAGCTATATGTAATTTTTATACTTGTAGCCAGTGTTTATCCTAATGGCTAATGAGCAAAGAAGGAGGTGTGTGTGTCTGGAGAGGATGGACACACCTACAACTAGCATATCCCAAACAATAAAAGGGCAAAAGTTGGGCTGTATGGCCACAAGACAATCCGGTAATTATATTACTAGCTACCTGCTCTAAACAAAGTGGAGACCTGCTACACAAAACATGGGCCTCGGGCCTGGCCAAGTTCATTCCTGTAGAGGGTCTAGGGAAAGTTGGACAAAGAACAAAGGAAAATTAGGCCTCTAGGAAAGCCCTGATGGCAACCTCATGTGAATGAATAAGTCGTATTGTACTAAGAATCATCTCTGGACAACCTTGGATATAGAGAGGAAGAGCCACTGCAAGAAAACCCATTTAGAACCAATGCTTGAAGGACAAGTTCAGACAGTTGACATAAATGCTTCAAGTTCAGTTTTGTGGGGCAAGCAGAGGGGGGTGACATCCACAAGTAGATGTGAAGAAAATGAATAACTTATGCAGATGTAGGCAGTTTACCTGAAGCAGTCTAGTTGTAGAGCAGATGGAGAACTGGCAGGGAGTGATGTAATGCAGGTGGAGAAGGTAGGTGTTGACACTACAAAATCTGGATGATAACCAGAGCTGGTGAGGCATAAATGTCCCATCTGGTTCCAGTGCACCACAACAGTAGTAATAGACTAATGATCAGTGAGAAGCGAGCAAGACTGTTTTGGGCACAAATAAAATTAACTGTCAGGCTGTGCTGGTATGGTATGCATAGGTGATAAAATTTTAGCTAGGTCTTACAGGGTCCCACAGCAGAAGGATTTTTGTTAGAACATTGAGAGATGACAAATTTTTATTTTATTTAACAGATGATATCTCCCTACACACAAGAACAATGAAGAACATTGTACTTGAAGTTTTCCATTTTGTTCTCGGAAATATTTTACGAATATCTGTACAGTATATGCAGATTCATTATTATTATCTATATTTTATTACTGTCTATATTTTTGGGATGTCAGGTAAGTGTCTTCACTGATATTTTCTTAATTTTTAATAACTCTTCCATGTTTTTGGTTAAATGTATTTAGAAAATTGTTCCCATAACAGAATCAGAGCAAAGCGGGTCATGAAATTCAAAGCTCCACCTTGGAACTGATCAATGGTTTGGTGTCACTAGTCCATAACCCATCTATGCCAGATGTGGCTGCTGAGGCCATGGAGGCATTGCTTGTTCTCCATCAGCCAGAGAAAATTGAGATGTGGAACCCAGAAGCACCTATAAATACATTTTGGGATGTCAGGTAAGTGTCTTCACTGATATTTTCTTAATTTTTAATAATGATCTTGCTATCTTAGTTTCATTGTGTGTCCTAGACAGAAAATCTATAAACCAGTTTTACTTTTAATAACTTAGACACATTCAGATTTGTTTTACTCATTGTGCTTCTCTGTGTTTATTGAAGGTTTAACTCTAGCTCCTGGACCTTTACTCCCAACTAATAATTGTTCATTGAGTTCTTTTGTACAGTATTTGCACTGAAATTCACAAAAGCTGAATTGGTGCGAGTACCTTGTTCTCTAATGTGTGTACTCAGAACACTCCTGGTGAGGAAGTTCTTTCTTGTATCATTTTTACTTATTCTGATGTTTAGGTTTTATTTGTGAACACTCTTGGTCCTACCTCTTCAACTGTCTTACACCTACTTGGTCAATACTGAGTATATTGTGATTACCTCCTTGCAGCCTTTTGTTATTCCATTTCTGTACAGTTGAGTTCTTTGACCCTTAACTTGCATCAAGAGGGGGTTAAGAGCATTTCTCCAGGGAGGTCATTTAATTAAAAAAATTTGTATTATTCTCTTAATTTATCAGCATAAAATGGCCATTTTCTTTAACCCTTTTATTGACAGTCCCATACAACTACTTCATTAAGGCCATGGTCCCTCAAGTAGGTCTACATCATGAGCTCATCTCACTCAGATAAGCTGTGAGTAGTAAATTTTGGCCTGGATATGAGAGAATGGGTCTATGTTGTGAGTGTGCATAATATAAGAAAAATTCCTGCCCCACTTGGTGCATGATTGGAAAAGCAAAACTTTCACCATGTATGGTTTAAAATAATGACTTTGCAGTATTTTTTTGGATGGGTTTTTTGGTTTTATTGGCTGTTTATTGGTATCATTTGATAGGGATGATATTGGTTGGTTTCAGGGAGGCTGTAAACCATGACCAATCATTCTTGGTTATAGTATTTTATTATCTGAGAAATAGTGTAAATCTTTGCTTTTTCATGATTATGAATTTGTATGTGATTAATGAACAAAGGAAATGTTGCTTTAGTGCCTGGAATGTCTGCATTGTTTATTTTGGATTAGCAAATTAGCTAAGAATTTGGTTGACTGGAGCTATGGAATTGGCTTAAAATAAGACTCAGTGTGGGTGAAACTGCCAGTGTGTAAATTGTGCCCAGACTGCTAACTTGGCACTTACGTAATTCAAAAAATTTTCCATCAAATTTTGCAGTTTTGGTGTCATTATCTTCAGAAAAAGATTCTTGACCATATCAGAAGAAATTTTTTTTCAGTGTAGACACTGAGAGCAGTATTAATTTCAGGGGTCTGGACAGTGAGAGGGGTTAATATTAGTTCATCAGTTTTATTCCTAGTGCTTTGACTAGTAGTGAAATAGATTAAAAATAGGTCCTTCTTGCATGTGGATGGGTGGCAGCTGTGGTGGCAGTGGTTATTGTTTGCTCAGGTCCTAACTCTAGATGCTACTGGAACAAAATTTCTGGAGTAAAAAATGTGAGGAGGTTTAGAATAATCCTATTGAAGAGCAGAGGTGCCATAGGGTCAGTTAGTGTTAATATTCATAGTTACCAACTCTCTAATCTTTTCCTGTTAGATATGAGAAATATTGCTGGAATGAAGGGTAAAGTTTTTATGAAGGTACCTACTGGAGATACCAGATCATCCAGGCTGTTGGCAGCAATAGACTGGTTGACCAGACAGTCAACAAGGAAGTATGATCTAAGAGGGTAGAAGAACCCCTGAAGTTGGTCACAGGTTTGTCTTGACAGAATGGGGGTTATGGATACCTTACAGTTAGAGGCTTTAGGTGGGCTCATTATGCTGGTTAGATCTCACCAATGTGCCCTAAAGTCCTGTTTGTTGCATAGCAGTAGATGAAGATAGTTGATGTGGTTACTGTTGATGTTGATGAAGAGTTGTGAAAAGTTGCTGGTTGTTCTTGGGTAGTAAAGAATTCTGTAATTCACTTCTAAATTTTACTCATCAGTTCTTAATATAGCTGATGATATGACTTCATTAGCTGCTTCAGTACTAAGCTTCTGAATATGTCAAGGGAATTTTTCAGCAAAAAAGTCTGCAAGTTTAGCAGCAACATAAACAATGGCCAGTGGCCTTGCCTACTGGTGTTGTCAGGAATTTCCTATTGCATGCCTTTCACAAGCCCATCAGCAGTTACTCGCACCAATAGGGAAAGTGGGAGTGCAAATTGAAGTTATTGATACAGCTTTTTTAATCGCATTTTGCTGAATTACAGTAGTGCCATCTGTGAACATATTATTCAAGTTTCTGCTGTTCTGTAATTTTTTTAATGGACATTTATTTATTTACATTTTTGTAAGATATTATTTTATTTTATTTAATTTTATTTTATATTATTCTACTTACATTTAGGTCATGCTACACATGTATGTTCATGCATATTTATATTTACACACCCATATGGGTTTTTTCTTCTATTTTCTTTATAGTTCTTGTTCTTTATTTCCTCTAATATCCACAGGGAAGTGGAACAGAATTCTTCCTCCATAAGCCATGCATGTCACAGGAGGCAACTAAACTGTTGGGGTCAAAGGGCTAGTGACCTCTTCTGTATAAATTACTAAATTTAAAAAAGAAAAACTTAAGTTTTTTTTATATTTTTTAGTCACTCTGCCTTGGTGGGATCTGGCTGGTTTGTTGAAAAATAAATTACTTAGGGTGTAAATATCTCACAAATCAGTTAAAACATACTGTACCATAGGTTATTTTGATCAGTCTCTTATTTCATAATGTTATATATTGTGAGACATAATGGGGTAAGACATTGAAATACCTTCTATGAATGTTCTAACACAGCTATTACATGTTTAGTTTCTTTGTGACAATGTAAATCCAATATTTTCATATTGGATTTACATTGAGGATGAAAATACTATATTTAAATTATTTTTTTTATATTCCATAATTTGTTTCCAGTTCGCAGGTGCTGTTTTCTATATCGCAAAAGCTCATACAACATCAGATCGTCAATTACACAGAAATACTTAAGTGGCTGAGAGATATCCTGGTGTGCCGTAATGCCTTTCTCCTTCGCCACAAAGACTATGCCAACTGTAACATCGGTGCTCACATAGCTATTTGCAAACAAGCTCATATCAAACTGGAGGTATGTTAAATCTTTTAGTATGCAGTGTACCTTAACAGTTATGTATAGTACATTGGTCCCTTGAGTTAAGATATTAATCTGTTCCAGAAGAGGTATTGTATCTCAAGACTTTTTATGTAATTTGTTCCAAGATCCTGGAAGTGTAACTTTACTGTTCCTTGGACCTGCATTCTCACAAATATAACTTGCAGGCACTGTGTACCTTGGACTTGCATGCTCATGGATATAACCTGCAGGCACTGTATCTCTCTTCATCTGTTCTCATAGTTACTGTAACAAATGTCTTTCCATCTCTATGTTAATTTCTCAGCCCTTTTTCACTAGCTTAGGTTTGTCAGCCACTTTAATCTTCTTTCAATGCACCGGCTGTATCTCACTGAGGTGGGGTGGCCCAAAAGGAAAAACGAAAGTTTCTAATTTTAAATTTAGTAATATATACAGGAGAAAGGGTTACTAGCCCCTTGCTTTCTTTATATTAAAATTTTTTGATGTGGTTTTTGCTTGAAACATTCAGCTAGGCAGAGTGCCACATCACACCTTACAAAAATGACTCAGGAAATCTTAACAACACCGAGTTTTAGGACTTGTCTGCTGTGGGTTAGAGCCCCACCTGTTCTGTGATTAACCTTACAACAGAATCATGGATCTCTGAGTTGGTTTTCTGGAACAGTACATTCACAGATAGCACCTCCTCTGTTTCCTCCTTTTTTCTGTTGAAGGAATAGTTGAAGGGATATGGGCACATTCTTTTTAGCCATAATTAACCCTTTCAGGGCCCAGAGGCCAAATTTCGAAGTGTGCACCAGTGTCTAAGAATTTTCAAAAAATAATTTTATTGTTTTCTTATGAAATGGTAGAGAATCTTTTTCTGAATGTAATAAAACAAAAAGTACGAAATTTGGTGGAAAACTGACGAAATTATGCTCCCACGAATTTTGATGTGTCAGAGATATTTATGCATCGGTGATTTTGCCGACTTTGACTCCCATTTTAGGCCAATTACATTATTCCAGTCGACCAAATTCTTAGTTATTTCAGTAGTATCACTTCTATTCTATTGATTGAGCACAAGAAATCACCAAATCACCTGTTTCACCTACAAAATAATGTGATCGGAAATTGGTAATTGGGCCAATTTAATGCAAAGTTCAAAATATTCCAGTTTCAAAATAGGATCCAGAATAAACAATGCAGGCATTCCTGGCACTAAACTAACATTTCCTCTGTTCATTAGTTACGTTTTCAGGCTTTACAAATGAATTCCATTTTTATTTTTTATTCACATAATGAATTTTTATTCAAACGAAAAAACAGAAGATTTACCATTATGCAATATTGTAATAATTTTATAAATAATATCACCACATTTATACAAAAAAACACTGCAAAGTTGTTGTTTTAATCGAAAATTATGGTCTAAGTTTTTTTCTCTCATTTTGCACTGTGTGCTGCAGGATTTGTTTTATGTGATGCACATATACCACATAGATGTATCCTCTCGTATCTAGGCCCAAATTTACTTCTCACAGCTTATCAGAGTGAGCTGAGCTCATGGCGTAGATCTACAGTTTGGACCCTCAATGTAAAGCCGTAGATCTATGGCACGGACCCTGAAAGGGTTAATCACTTTCCTTAATTTGTTGGAGAATTGGTGGAGGTGGCCCCTCAGTACGTTTCTGTTGTCTGTCATGTGACAAATAAATGGAAGTCATTGAAGTTTTGCATCTTTGCAGGTTTTCACTTAGAACATATTGTAAGCATTTAGCCTTACCACATCTAAGAGATAAAAAAGAATACAATTTCATAAACCACTTTAAACTTTTTCTGACAATCCACTGATTCATTTTGCATGTCTGATTTGTCAACCAAAGGCATAGTGTTTAACTGATAACTGCAAGTGGTTTTTGAATAAGTTCTTCTGAATGTATGTTCACATTTCCAGTTTGTTTCATTTCATGCCTGTGTAGGGTTGTCAACATTGTTAAGTCTCTCATCATTCCACAGAAATGCACTTGCATTTCATTTTGAGCTAATGGTTTTTTGAATGATGGCATAAATTTTCTATTTCTTTGCACTGTCTTGCATGTTTTTGTATTGCTTATCTTCAAGAAATCACAAAATAAAAGGCTAGTTCATCAGTTATCTGTGAATGAAGTATGCACTTTGCCAAGGTACAGTACCATCATTTTTGTGACAACAACAGTAGATATTTCTAAAAAGTTTCTGGTATTTTCCAAAGTTTTTGCTTGTGTACACAATATCTAAAACTATACCAGTTTGAGTTATATATCACAAACAGTTTGATACCATAGCAATGTCTTTTGCTTGATATTTATTGCTGAAGGGAAGCCTGATTTTGAATAATATCAAAGACTCATCAGTAACAATGTTCCTAAAGGAATAAAAGAATTTGCTGAATTTTTGCTTCAAGTGCATGATCATTTCTCTTATTTTGTGCCACAATTAATTTTTTTTGGTGATTACTTTTGTCACTAAGAACAAAGAGCAGCCAGCTGTCAATATTTCACTGAAGCTGATGTTTATGTAAGTTTATCTGTACTCCAATATTTCGATAAATTATTTTTGGAACGTGTGGCATGATCATTAGTGTTGCTAAGAATAAATTCATCTCTGCAACATTGTTATCTTTCCACTTGTGAAGCCAAGATTTCACTGAAACATATGTATTGGCCATTGTATGCTGGTAATAACTGTTTGAATCCCATTCAGACTCATAATGTATCTTCCTGTGAGTTTCATATCCTTTTTGCTTTTGGTTTTATAATACTGTATTTGGTGATGGCATAGCTTGTGGTACCACTTGACATGTTTTGGTGCAGCTGCTTGTGTCAGGGCCCCTTGGGGTGATATGCCTTGTGGTGTCACAAAGTAGGTAGTGGCACTACAGCTCCTGCTATAATAATACTAAGACCAGTATCAACAGAATCACTTTCATTACCATCTCCCACATCATCACAGCACTATAGAATAATTCAAGCCTATACAGTGCACTACTAGACCTTGTGCAGTGCCTGATGGGTTTATGCCTTATTGGTGAATAAAGTACCTTACTGTCACTTGAATCAACGGTATCAGTGTTGTAATCATATTCTTATCGACTGTCGTGCTCAAACCGCTAACTTCACTAAACTTTTCCTGTGTCTGTGTATCTAGACCTGAAGTGGATGCCATTACTATATCTTGGGTTTCTCTGACATTACATACATTCCTGGTGCCACTAACTTCTTCAATTTCTTCAAAACCAGAGCACTCTGCTTCTCTCTCAGGGATGTCTCTAGCATATAAAATATGCTGAATTTCACTCCTAGTCAGGCTGTGATGTCTCCTTCCCATTGTAACAAAACTGCAACTGAGGCTATGTTACCCATAATGCTCTGGACTTGCCATGTGACAAGTGATTTTTTTTTTACCTTGGCACAAGAAGAAAGCACAGGACATAACTGAGCCTAAAATTAGTGGCTGGTGGCAAATTTGAAGGCATGGAAAATCAGGCATATAGAGTATATCATCTCCATTCTGGTTCCCTGATGTATGGTGTAAGTCATGCACAGCTTAATTAAAGGCTAATTGAAACTTGATAAAGGGAATAAGCATTATTATAGATGGGAAATGACTAATGTTGTTAAATCTCAAATTCAGGCTGTTGTAGTGATTTATTGAGGGAAAAGCCTTTGGGAAAGATAAGTAGAGTACTCTGTTACTTTAGTAGAATGCTGTTGTAGTCCTCCTTTTTTAATCCAGGTATATTGGGGGTGCAGTCTGTTGAGATATCAACCCCTAGTTGTTTTTGTCTTAGCTTCATTTACAACTTGCTAAAATGTATAGTTAACAAGAGACTTGTTGGATTCTTGGGGATCTAGATTGTATATTTTCTGTCATGTTGTCAATATATAGGTCCATTCCACAGTATACCATTTACTTCAGTAATGCCTTTGCTGAATAGCATTTGTTACGGCTGTGCTCCTTAAATTCAAGAGAGCTTAAGGCACCACCTGGAAATATCATATCTTAACTTAGATTTAGTCTTTTGGCTTACGAGGCCTATTACTGATATATCTTATGACCATTTTGACCTTTTTGACTTTTGTGTTCCTTTCAATAACAGCCTTTTCCCATCTTTGTATAGGTCATAACATATCAACTCCATGTTAATTTTAAAATAAATTCTGCTCCAAATACTGCATGGTTGTAATTGATATTTTAAAACTGTGTTTATCTTTTAGTTTTGTTCAAAATAATGTGTATACTATGAGTTTTTCAGGTAAAATCATGACTAATTCATCTGATTAAGTAAATGTAATAAGGTACAGTTTACATATAAATTATTTTTTTCTTGTTTACTGACATGTTATTAAATTTAATGAGTGATGGTACTGATGACAGGTTGTGTTTCTAATGTACCTGTGGAGTATTGACATGGATGCTGTGTTGGTGGCCATGTCATGCTTTGCCTTGCTCTGTGAAGAAGCTGACATCCGTTGTGTGTGGGATGAAGTCACTGCAACGGTCACCTACCTCCTCCCTAACTATCATGTTTACCAGGAACTTGCTGCTGCCTCCACCATTCTTACAACAGGTTAACATTATCTGTTTTCAAATCCGATATTTTCGTTGACTGCATGTACAGTATTTCCATAAATGTTTCACTGTATTATACTGCTGATTGATAAACTTTTTATCAGCATATAGCCTTGTCATGTAGATGTTAATTCAGGGGCACACCTTTTATCTCTTGAATTCATATGAAAAGATTAATAAATATCTTATACAGCACTCAAGTTTTTTTTTTTTTTATTGTCTAGTTGTTTCATTTTTATTCTTTGCTATCATGTGGTTATGGATATTTCTTGTAGAATAATGCACTATTAATAGTATTCTCTTTACTTTGTAAAAGAGATGGCAGTCACTAATATGGTGGGTTTTCTCTTGAATAGGAATAACTTTTTTTATAATCTGACATATTCAGCATGGCCTCAACAGCAGCATTTATATTCAAACTTGGTTTGAGTCCATAGTGATAATAATAGAAGTGATGTTAAAGCTAGTTATTACTCCAGTTTAAAAGTCCACTGTCCACTAAGTGGACAGCGAACTTTGTAATGCATAAAGATATGAGTGAGTGAAAGGCAGTTTTTTTCTGGGAAGAAAGGGTCATCACATCGCCACAAATACCTTCAATTGCTTTCAGTGTCAGGCTTTATATTAAACTTCATTCCAGTAGTTTTCAGAATTGTTTCCCCAAAATGTATCCCATTTGTGTATACTGTATTTTAATAAAATTTCTAACAGGTACTCTTAGATCTCCTCCTGTATACAACACAGCATGTTGGGCAAACCTGTATATATTACTATTCTCAGCATTTTAATGTAACATAACTTTTGTATATGTATTTCCTGATGTGTACAATTGGCTTTACCTGGACATTTAGCCTTATTTATTTTCGTTGAATATAGAGTCAGTTTTTTCCAATGTTGTGTATCACTGCTGTCATGAGTATTTTCTGTTATGATGCTTTTGAGATTTCATGATACTTCTCAATGTGGATCATTTTATGATCCTGTAATGCAACTGACTAATTGATTAAAGCTCTTCAAGGTAAGTGCTATGAGCTAATGAATATGAGCTACTCTTTTCATCCTTAGATCAAACTTGCTTACCTTCCTTTCTGTATGACCCCTATAGACTTTGCCTTTCCTCATGAATATTGTGATAATTTATTTAGGTTTGTCTAGCCACTATTGATTTGTTTTTGAATCAGAAAAAATATATATTGAATGTCATATTTTTTGGAGAATGCAATTAAGGGATTTTTGATAGTTTCTAAAGCTCTAAGATAATTATAAAGTTGCTAAACAGTGCTTGGATATTTTCTTACCTCATTTTAGGGCTGTTTATTGACATTCATTAATGTTTTGGTGATGAAATTGACTTTTAATTGAACATAAACTTAAAACAATTATTAGCACTCTTACAAATGTGCAGGTACTTACAAATGAAGTTGTATGTGTAGTGAATGTGTATCGTGCAGAGTACTGCTTGATACACATTATTTTATTGTGCTTCTTGCTATGTGAGTTATGCATTACAATGAACTCTTGCTTTGTTCCTCTAATGCAGCATCTTTGGAATCCAGAATTTTTAGTCAACAGCACCATCAGGGTAAGAATAGTATTTGTATGTACTTATATATATGTATGCAGAATAATCACTGTGAAAAAAAAGTAGAATTCCAAGCTCTTTCGTGACTTCTCACATTATCAAGGAACTATAAAAATACAGTAGGGCCCCACTTATGCGGCGGGTTAGGTTCCAGGCTGTCGCCGGAAAGCAGACATCGCCGGAAGGCAGAACGCCATTTTTTTCCATTTATAAATGCATATAAATGCCAGACAACAAGTTTACACTAAATTATATTAAGTTAGTAATAGAACTAAACATTAAAAACACACAAAGTAAAATACATTCACAGTAAATTCATTACTTACCTTAAAGTATTTGTAATCTTAATGTAGGGAGAGAGGTGAGTAGTACTTATTTGTAGGAAGTCAGGTGCAGGTAGCCCAGGTGTAGGTAGCACTGGCTCACTGTCTCACACTTAATATATGATATTTAAAATATCCCAGAGAGGTAAAATACACATACAGTACACTCATTATTTACCTTAAAATATGTGGTCTTAATATAGGAAGAGAGGTGAGTTGTATTTATTTGTAGGAAAGTCAGTGTAGGTAGCCGGTAGGTGTAGCCCGACTGGGCTACACCTACCGGCTACCTACACTGTGGCCCAGAGCCGTATTATTAACATCGACATACCTTGTTCACTGAATTTAATAATTTCTAACATCTACCTTTAGATGCCATCATAAACGAAGGTAGAAGTAATGAATAATTCATGCCGAAAATTGTAAACAAAAGCAGTGAGGGAGTGGCTGGGCCAAATGCAGATTCATACACGTTTTCTCTGATGGCTGAGCAGAGAAAACATAATGTCCCTCCACCTGGCTACCACACAGCTCCACAAGTATTATTATCAGAGCACACATAAAATATGCAATAAATGCCAGACAAAAAGTTTACACTAATATTAAGTTAGCAATAGAAATAGGCATTAAAAACACAATAAAAGGTAAGATACACACAGAGTACACTTATTACTTACCTTAAAATATTAATATTAATGTGTAAGAGGTGAGTGGCAGGGTGTTTATTGAATAAAATCAGAATGGCACACCATCATCCTCTAACTTGGCACTTAAAGCAAGAGGCTTACGACTTCATTAATATTCAATAATACTAACTAAATTTATGCTGATCTAAGATGAGTTAAGTAGGATTATGCTAAATTATATTACAATAATTTTGGTAAGGTTAAGTTAGTGTTCTGAGTTACAGTGCAAAATTAAAAAGTTGTTTACTATGTTAATTTACATAAATATATATTGCAGTGCATAAGGTAAAATTTTTGTCAAGAACTATTTTTCTAGAAGTTTAGCTTGTATGACTGACTGCTCATAAAGCATGACATTGCCAAGATTGCTGGTCTCTTCTTTCTTTCTCATTAACATGTAAGATGTCGGGTAAATCTTGTTACCTTTACATCAAATATGCACTACACACTAAAGGAAAATGTCCATGTGATGAAAATGTCACTAACAAGGACCTACAAGACTTAGTAATTCTTCTTATAAATTGTTTAATTTATATAAATTATGTCAGAAAAAATAAGTTACTATATTAATATTTGCTAATGATGCCACAAAGTCTTTGAAATGTAAGAAGTCAGAATATCTACTAATCCCTGCAGGAAGCTTTAGATAAATTGTGCAGTAGGAATGACATATGGATGATAGAATTTACCTTTGAACTGGTTACACCACGTGTATATGATCATATGGACAACTAGGCACACTGTATGAATGTATGTACAGTACAGTGGACCCCCGACATTCGATGGCATCGACATTCGATGCATTTTAAAGCAAAAATTTCACCTCGACATTCGATGGAAAACCCAACGTTCGATACGATTCGTACAAGACGTGTCCACGTGTGGCTTGAACTGCCCCGTGTGTGCCAGTGTTTACAAGCCAGCCGGTGTGCGCGCATCTAAGGATACATTCGGTACATTCCATATTATCCATATTATCACTTTTTTGGTGCTTGTTTCTGCAAAATAAGTAACCATGGGCCCCAAGAAAGCTTCTAGTGCCAACCCTTCGAGAAAAAAGGCGCTAATGACTATTGAAATGAGATAAATGCAAAGTATGAATGTGGAGTGCGTGTGTTGGAGTGCATGATGATTTGGTAAAGAAATTGCCTGCAACTAGTGGTGATTTGAATGAAGTTAAGGCCAGCAAAGGTTGGTTTGAAAGATTTAACCCTTTCAGGGTCCGTCCCGTAGATCTACGGCTGGTCGGTGAGTGTCCAAACCGTAGATCTACGCCAAAATTCTAGCGCCGTCAAATTTAGCGCGAAAGCGCTCATAGGCCTACATATGAGAGAATGGGTCTGCGCCGTGGGTGTGCGCCATAAACAAAAAATCTAGGCGCCTGCATAGCATTGTGGGAACGCCGGCTCAGTCACCCTTGTTCACCATGCCTCGTCGCAAGTCAGCTCTCACTCCCCGGAAAATTGGGACTCTCCTCTTCCTGTCTGATAGTTCTGACACTGATGGAAGTGGAAATGAAGACGAATTCTACGGCTTTGATAAGTTAGTGACCGAAAATAATGACCAGGATATCGATAATAGTGCAGAAAACCCCGACGATCCTCGACCTTCTACCTCTGGTGTGGGCACTCGTGACTCACCGTCGGGTGTTCCTAAACGTAAGAGAAAACTAATATTTTCCTGTGGCCTGGCCTCTGACTTCAGTAATGACGATGATTCTGACGTGGATTGTGATTTTATTGCGCTCGACGATCATTCGAGTAGTGATAGTGAGGAAACATATTCACCAGTGAAGCGTCGGTATGTCCGCCGCCGCATGCGCTTGGGTAGTGTACCCTATGCTGTGCCCAGGGGACGGAGTACATCCCGGAGTACATCCCGGAGTACATCCCGTGGCCCTACACCCGTTTTAGGTAGTGATAGTGAGGATGATGTGGCTACACTTGGCATGGATGGGCCAGAGACATCAGTGGATGGTGTTAGTGGGGCTGGTGGTGGTAGTGGCACCGCCATGCGTGACTCGCTGTGCCACGCGGGAACCCATGCTGCTGACTCGTCAGTTCAAGGACAAAGCGGAGCGTCACCCACCAGCCCGCCACAACCACCCGTACAACCAGCCTATGATGTCCAGTATCCACCAGCAAACCGTATCTGGGATTGGCAGCAAAATCCCAATTTTGTTCCCAGCCCTCACCACTTTGATGACTCGCAAAGTGGAATTCTACCTACCTGTCCCCTTGGAACCACGGCCAATGAACTGGAATTCTTTGAATTATTCTTTGACCAGCCATTGATGGAAATTATTGTCAGGGAAAGTAATAAGTATTTTCAGTACACCATGGCAAATACGATCTTATCACCACAGTCAAGACTACACAGGTGGAAAGAGACGACTGTTGCAGAAATGTATTTGCTTTTTGCAACAATAATGCTTATGCCTCACGTCTATAAGCATAATATAAAAGCATACTGGTCCACAGATCGGCTAATTTGTACCCCATCCTTCAGTGAAATAATACCAGTGAACAGGTTTATCTTACTGTTACGTATGTTGCACTTCTCTGACAAAACCAGGCCTGACAGAAGTGACAGGTTATACAAGATTAGAAATGTTTTCATGTATCTCAAACAAAAGTTCAGGATATACTTTTATCCATTCAAGAATCTTGTAATTGACGAGTCTTTGATTTTGTTCAAAGGTAAGACTGTCATTCAAGCAGTATATACCGAGCAAGAGGAACCGCTTTGGTATAAAATTGTTTGTACTCTGTGATTGTGACAGTGGCCTGGTGTTGGATATTGTTGTATACACGGGTAGTAAAACATTGAAAGATACCAAGATGTTATTGGGTATATCAGGTGACGTAGTGAGAAACATGATGGCACCTTATCTTGGTAAGGGCCATACATTATATACCGATAACTGGTACACAAGCCCATTACTCAGTGATTTCATGCGAGTGAACAAGACAGATGTGTGTGGCACAGTGCGTTCTAATCGTAAACATATGCCCAGGCTCAACGCAGGTGTTCGTGGTGATGACGTGCAGGTGTTTACTGCCAATGACATCATGGCATTACGGTGGCATGACAAACGAGATGTCACATTGTTGACAACCATTCACCGTAATGAAATGCAAGACAGTGGCAAAGTTGATCGAGTGACCAATGAACGTATTCGAAAACCAGTGACAGTGATTGATTATACACAAAACATGCGCTTGGTTGACAAGTGTGACATGCAGATTGGTTTTGTTGACTGTGTTCGTAAGAGTTACAAGTGGTACATGAAACTTTTCTTCCATCTCATGGACATTTCAATGCTGAATGCATATAATATGTACCAAATAAAGACTGGTAACAGACCCACCGTATGGTGAATTTTGTTTGTCTGTTGTCAGACAACTCATAATGAAGTACCAGGCAACAACACCTGCAATACAACATGGTCCTCGAATTCATCACAATATACCCAAGCGTTTGAGGAAAGAAGGTGATCATTTCATAATACAGCTTCCTTCAACTCAAAAGAAATTTGCTCAGAAGAGATGCATTGTCTGTGCACAAACAAAACGACGGCAACAAAGACGCAAAGACACTCGGTTTATGTGTGAGGAATGTAAGGTGCCTCTGTGCATGGTGCCTTGTTTCAAGGAGTTCCACAAGCTCCAGCAGTTCTAAAACCATGTCCAGTGATTGTAAATATGTAAATATATGATAGAACATTAGTATTATACAATATTTGTGCATGTTTATTGTAATAAACAACAGTGGTAAACAATAATATGATAATAACTTTAGTGCGGTTATTGTGTTCAATACAGTGAGTTTATATATATACATTATATACAGTATTGGTCTCTCAGGCCCCAAATGTTAGTAGGAATAGAAAAAAAATGGAAAAGAAAAGAAAAAAGAACTAAAACAACAAAATAATATAATACGCGTATGTGGAATTCGTCGATGTTGCCGCCACCACATCATTTTCTAC